GCTTTGGGTGCTCGTTGTCGTGTGAAGCGCCAGGCGCCGCGGCCGGACAGTAATTATTTCTCACAGGTCCTGCCTGTAATCAAGGTGTTGATTCTCTGGGGCCGACAGCCCGTCCCGTGCAACGCGCAAGCCCTGTTGCGTTTCGAACTACGGTACGGTAAGCGCCAGAGTGGGCTCCGAGGAGGGACGGTTCGGTTTTGGGGTGCCTGGCGAGCAGCTGGCGCCGAATTCCCTCTCTGCAGGCTGGGTGCTGCCCGTCCCCGGGGGATGAGCCGTCTGCTGCCCCGTGCCGCGCTCACGCTGATGGGACTGCTCTTCGCCAGAACGATGGCCTGGACTTCCAGCGGAAAGACGCACCCCGAGCTAGTCAACAACCTCTACAGTGAGTGCCGGCGCCGTAGAGCCCGTTGGCGCTTCAGCGTCAGGTTGCGCAGCGATGTGCTGTGGTGCTGCTCGTTCTGAAACGCTGGGGTTAGCGTTGCCTGGGGGCTGACCTGCTGGGAAGCAGCTCTGCCCAGAGGGACCTGGGAGTCCTGGTGGGGGACAAGCTGGCCATGAGCCAGCAGGGTGCCCTTGTTGCCAAGAAGGCCAATGGTATCTTGGGGTGCATCAAGAGGAGTGTGGCCAGCAGGGCGAGGGAGGTTAGGATGATGGGGGGACTGGAGCATCTCCCCTGCGAGGAAAGGCTGAGGGAGCTGGGCTTGTTCAGCCTGGAGAAGAGAAGGCTGAGAGGGGACCTCATCAACACGTACAAATATCTCAAGGGTGGGGGTCATGAGGACGGAGCCAGACTCTTCTCAGTGGTGCCCAGTGACAGGACAAGAGGCAATGGGCACAAACTGAGACATAAGAGGTTTCAGTTGAATATGAGGAAGAACTTCTTGACTCTGAGGGTGCCGGAGCCCTGGCCCAGGCTGCCCAGGGGGGCTGTGGAGTCTCCTTCTCTGGAGATATTCAAAGCCTGCCTGGATGAAGTCCTGTGTAACATGCTCTAGGAGAACCTGCTTGAGCAGGGGGGTTGGACTGGGTGATCTCCCGAGGTCCCTTCCAACCCTTGCCATTCTGGGATTCTGTAATTTCAGTGTTTGTCCCAGTCTGAACTTGTTCTGTTTATAACTGGGAACAAGACGGGTCAGAGTTGTGCTCGGTGCTCCCGCTCCGCTCCAGACAGCAGGCTGGAACATGCTTAAAACCAGTTTTGAATCTCCCCTGCTGCTAAAACTGATTTTTTTTCCCCCTGTAAGGGTTCCCTCGGTGATGAGGTGTGAAGGGTTGTTGAGTGTTTGTCTTTAGCTTACGCGCTGTGCCCGTGCTCCTGAACCCTGGCTTTCAGGAACCAAAGCATGACTCTCTTTCTCTTCCGTCACGTTTGGCAGTCCCAGAAACATTGTGGATATAAGTCCCTGTCCTCGGGGAGACACCAGGCTGATGGCTGGGACCGTAGCGTGATTTTACAGGGCGTAGCAGAAACCGAAAAGCACTTCCACCTGCAGTTTTGTTTTCTCTCCCTTCTCAGATCACTTGTTAAGGTCAAATTCTCCCAGTTCCTCTAACGCCCTGAACTGCGCTCCGCCCTTCCAGCCCCCTTCTCGCCATAGAAGCAAGGATTTCAGCCCTTTCTGTCTCTCTCTTCCTTCTCCTCCCAGAAAAAGGGATCATTAAATCCCAGCGAGTCTTTGACGTGCTGCTGGCTACTGACAGAGGTCACTACATCAAGTATTTCCCATACATGGATTCTCCTCAATCTATCGGTGAGTACCTGGAGATGAAGTATTGCCCCCGTTGCGGCGCGCACACTGGCTACGCTCGCCGCGCCGACTGAGGGGTGTGAGGGGGCTCAGTGGGTCCCTGTTCTCCTTGCTGGGTGCCTGAGATTTATGATGGGTCGAGCAGAGCAAACCCCCTCCATATTTTGGGTGTGGGATCCAGCGGTAAAGGACAATACAGTTTTTCTGTCTTCAAAATGTTCGCTGATGGCTCCGAGTCCGGCTTGGGGAGGGGAAGCGAGCGCAGGCGGCAAGAGCTGCAGGGGGGCTGGTGGGCGGGCGGGGGGCTGGCAGGCTGGGGACCCACAGCAGCCTGCGGCCATCTCGTGCTTGTCCCTCATCTCACGGGGGGAATTTTCGGTTAGTGAAGTGCTTTAGCATGGCAAAAGAAGTGGAGCGTTCTCATATTTTTGGGGGAAAGTGGGGGAGAGTAAAGAACTGTTTGCGTTGGTAACTTTAATCGTCACTTCTTTATCACATAACTCGTGTCACCCGTTTCCTTTCAGGATACAAGGCTACAATCAGCGCACCGCATATGGTAAGGTGTAACTCTTCCCTTTTAACAGAAATGGAGGAAATGGTTGGTTTGCCATTTTTTATTTTATTTTTTCTTAAATACTAAAGCAGAAAGGTGAAAGGGATCCCGTGGACACGATTATCGTGCTTGTTTCTTCAGGGACTGCACACGTGGAGCTTTTTTTCTTTGGGAAGAGTTTGCCCTGTACTCTTAAAGTTGCTTTAAAAGTGCGCTTAGCCGGGAATTCTGGGCAGCTGGGGCTGGCCACCGGCCTTGTCCGGTTTTTGCACGAGACCTTTTTTCCTGCGGCTTCGCACCTTGTGACTGTGTCTCTTCCTAAATGCTGTTCTGCAAACAGATCTTCCAGATCAAACCCATGAATTTCAGGATGACCATGTCAGCCAAAACACTGGGTGTGCCATGTTTAAATCGGAGCAGGCAGCGCTTAGAACAAGAAAAAGCTTCAGGAGAGGCAAGGAAAGCGGGATGGGATGTTTCACACCTTTGTGTGCTTGTTGTCCTCGCAGCACGCCCACGCGCTGGAACTGCTAAAGGATCGGCTTGTGGAAGGCGCAAAAGCGCTGGATGTTGGATCTGGGAGCGGGTATCTCACGGCTTGCTTTGCCAGGATGGTAAGCTCACAGGACCCCCGTTCGAGCTAGTAAGATGCGTCAGGGCTGGTAGCTCGCCATAGCCGGCACGTGCTTCTTGGGGAGGGGGGGAGAGCGGGAGAAAGGGCTAAACTCTTCCCAGACCAGCTGGTAGTAAAAAGAAATACAGTAATTTTTGGAATCTAAATGGACGCTCCATATGCCGTGAGATGTTTTGTGTGTTAACCCAGCTCAGCTCGAGAGGAGTGTGTGTTAATCTACTGCGCAAGTCCATTGTAGGTTCTTCCTAGTTTGCTTCTCAAGGGGCATCGCAGTCTGTTTCTTTGTTTTCTAAACTCCTGAAGTGATTGCCTGTGAAGTGCTGGAAAGCTGGTCATGTTCCTCTTCTTGGGAGGCTGGTTAGTCAGGAATTGGCTCTGCTGTGGAAGCTGCTAATGCTACCAAATCGTTATTTCTTTGGAAATGAAAGATCCCCGTAGGCAGCGTCTGTGTATCCCTCGAGTAGCTGGGACTACTCAGCCATAAAACCAAGGGAGCAGAGTATTTTCACCTCCTGTTCAGCAGCTCTGCGCTCAAGCTCCTTCCTGGAAGGGCTTTGATCCCTGCAGTAGCTTGCCCTATAAAACACATCTCTCTATCACACAGGCGGTGTTAGGCGTCTGCTGTTTTTCTTTTTAGATGGGCCCGACAGGGAAAGCTGTGGGCGTAGAGCACATTAAAGAGCTGGTACATGAATCCATCAGAAACGTCCAAGAAGATGATCCGGCTTTGCTCAGCTCTGGCCGCGTGAAGCTTGTGGGTGAGCTCAGGGACCCTGATGCTGCTTCTCCCCGGCAAACGCGTTGGCTCTGCCTGCCTGCAGAGTGCTCCTTCTCCAAGCAGTTGGTCTGGTTTGTGTCTGTGCTTGCCACAGTGTTGCTGGAAACCCCTGGCTAAGTAAGCACCGTGCCACGCTGACCTGAGCGCTACGCGGTGTGTACAAGTAGCATTTCACGTTACAGGCAGTCTTACGGTACACCTTGCTTCCGAGTGTGTGGTGACAATCTTAATTCAGTACGAGACGCTCCGCTGAGGAGAGCAGTTGTGCCACGCCTGGGTTTTAGTTGATTTGAATGGTTCCGCACACACTGTTGCGGTGTTTGGGGAGGATAACTTGAGTTGGCTCTTCCTGTATCTGGAGTCTGGAGCCTGCGCAAAGCCCCTGTGTTATTGAAAGGCCCTCCTGCCTTCAACTGCTCCTTCTAGCATGGCTCCGTGCCAGAAATCTGCCCCTGCTTTTTAAAAAGTAAACCAACAAAATTCAAATTCCCATCACCGTCCTGTTAAAGCTCTCACCATCTAGATTTCAATTGAAAGGCTATAGGAAGGATTATTTTTGCCTGGAGCTGTTATCAGAATAAAAGTCTCTTCTGCGTGCTTTCTCCTCCCGTAGTTGGAGATGGCAGGCAGGGATACCCCGAAGAGGCTCCTTATGATGCCATTCATGTCGGAGCGGCAGCAGCTACTGTACCAAAGGAGGTAAGAGCGATCGTGCTGGGTGGCTGTTGCTGCAGGCTGCCTGCATTGGGAACTGTGGGGGGGGGAAAACAAACAACCCTAACAATTAGGGAATCACTGAAAGCTTCTTTTTCTGTGGAGCTGGCAAGCTTGTGCTTTTCAAGGTGCCATGGCCTTCACAGTGTGGCTTATTTCTGTTGTCTCTTTGTGGGGTTTTTTTGGCTCTGCTGATTCTGATTTCTCTGCTTGCCAGCTGCTGAATGAATTGAAGCCAGGAGGTCGGTTAATATTGCCCGTTGGCCCCGAAGGCGCAAACCAAGTTCTGATGCAGTACGACAAAACCAGTGACGGGCAGATCATCGAAACGCAACTGATGGGCGTGATCTACGTTCCTCTGACAGATAAGGAAAAGCAGTGGCCTCGGTAAAAATTTGCTCTCCCTTGAGGAACATTTCTTCCTTGCAGCCATCCCTGTGAGCTTGCTCTCCTTGACTGCTGGCTTTACTGACCGAGTCCTGGAATCCTGGCAGATGCTGTTTGGGAGGAGAAAAAAAAAAAAAAAAAGAGAGAGAGAGAGAAGAAAGAGCCTTGGCTGTGGTAAGGCACAGCAGGAGAGCAGGATGTATTTTCCATTAGCTAGGGCTTGCAGACTGAGGACTCAAGCTTTTCTTCTTAATTTTTTTTTTTTTTTGGAGCCTGTGCACTTTCATAAACACCGTAGCCGTGTTGATTCTGTCGCTGAACTGAAGGCCACGAATAGTAACTGTTGGTTTTTCTTTGCCTCAGGGATGAATTCTGATGGATGGATATCTCTAAAGTGACCTCAGAAAGCTCCTGAGTGGGACTTAGGACTGTAGATGGTCTGTACGGTTTTGCTTTTTTGAACGGCAGCTTTATCGGTGGATGTGCTTGCGAAGGCAAGCTCCGCTCTAGCAGAGCTCGGTCCGGAGGGATGGAGAAGAGGGCGTTTCTCCAGCAGCAGGGGAGGCTCTCGGAGGCCGTGTCTGGTTCCAGGCAGCGAGTGGATCCAGCGGCTGTCCTCTCTGATACGCTGTAGGTAACGCCTATTCACAGAGAGCTCCAAGAGCAGGCAGGAATACTTAAACCCTCACTAAGCGTACTCTTTAATATTGACTACTCCGCCTAATGCTTGAAGAAAATAAGGCGCAATTACTGGTTCCAGAGCAGCGATCTACCCCCATTTGTCCAAGTTTAATTATAAGAGCGTGTTCTCTTCCTGTCTTGCATCAATTAATTTAATCTCCGGTAGCAACACTGGGAACGTTGGGGTTACGAAAAATCCCGGTCTCGCGGCTTTTCCCTGACGTGGGGCTGGTGCTTGGCCGCACGGGTGGGTAGGCCGCAGGGCCTGGTCTGGAAGAGGGGTGAGGGGGCGGAACCGCCCGATAGTGGCGGCGAGGCGAAGGGCGGGTGGGTAGGCCGCGGGGCCTGGTCTGGAAGAGGGGTGAGGGCGGAACCGCCGGGCCGGGCCCTCGCCTCAGGGGA